AACGGAGTCTACTCGTCGGGGCGCACCCACGGCCGGTTGCTTTCGTCGGATTCAGCGATTTAAATTTCCCGGCGGAGTGTTCTCGGCGAACGCGGCTGTGCTCTTTGCCCGCCCACCAGCCCGACGTGTGGGGTGGCCCAGGCTCCCATCTCATTAGTCAGCTTCCGCGGCCCAGGAGAGAAGCCCGCGTCATCTTGCAGCATTCGGCCCAGTTACATTAAGAGCAGCCCAATATGCGGAAGCCCAACGTGGAGAGAGGAGAAATGCGCGGGCCGCATCCAGCCCGCGCGGCCCGCGCTTGTCACAGAGCTCAGCCCGAACGAGCCCGCGAACGGCCCGCGTCCTGGCCCGCTAAAAGCCCGCGTGTGGCCCTTCTTCAGCCCACGTGAGGCTCTTCTTCCACCAACGTCCAGCCCATGTGCGCGTGGCCCAAATTGTACCTAGCGGCCCAGAGGCCCAGCGGCGGCCCAGCAACTCATGTGCGCCTCATGACGCCTCCAAATCGCCCCAGCTCGGCCCAGCAACTCATGTGCGCCTCATGGCGCCTCCAAATCGCCCCAGCTCGGCCCAGCACCTATATGGCGCTCCCAGCGCAAGCCCAGGCCGGTCCAGATGGTCCAGGAGCGGTCCAAACCGGCCCAGGTCGATCCAACAGCCCCCTTTCATGCCCGAAGACTATTTTGGAACGATACGACACGGGCGGTGAGGTAATTTGGGATGAAATTCTCGTGGTAAAGGTATGTGGTTCCTTTAAATAATGGGCTTGAGGACTTTTTAATTGGTAAAAATGGAGAAAATATTGGATTTATTCATGGAGCTCATTGGATTATTTGTGAAACATTATTTGACTTATACGCGAAACTTATATGAGTGATTCATGGAGATATTTGGTTTATTGAGGAGTACTATTGGACTTATTTATGGAGCATTATGTGATTTATTCGTGGAATTATTCGATTTGTTCGAGGAGAATTATTTGATTTACTCGAGATATTATGTGATTTATTCGTGGTGATATTCGATTTATTCGAGGAGAATTATTTGATTTATTTGGGGAGAATATGTGATATATTTGTGGAGGTTATTTGTTATATTCGTGAGAATATTCTATTAGTTCGGGGATAATTATTTGATTTGTTCGAGGAGATATTATTTGATTTACTTGTGGAGCTTATTTGATTTATTTGTGGAGTATTAGTGGATTTATTTCGTGGAAGATATTTGCCATATTCGTGGAGCATTATTTGATTTACTCGAGGAGGTTATGTGATTTATTCGAGATAATATTTGATTTGTTCGTGGAATTATTCGATTTGTTTGAGGAGTGGATTAAAATTATACAACTGGATATTTGATATATTCGGAGCCTCTCATTTGGATTTTCGTGTGATAATGAGGAATTTTGTTCGAATTGATTACTCATAATTTTTTTAAGCATATCATTGCTCGAGCATGTCTTAGATCGAGGAGATGGTGAGAACTGTATTTGATCTCTTATTTTTCTTACGTGGAGAATTGCAAAATAGATGACGTGAACATAATATGGATAATGATATCTCTTTGAATTCTTGTCGAGGAAACACCGAAATAACCCGAGTCTCGACAAGCTATGGTGGACGAGTCGTGGAATTTCGAGGACAAAATGAGCGAGCATGGATCCATCAAAGCAGCGCGATAAGGAGGGACGAGTCTGGAGGGTGCCGATCGCAGATGGCAATTTCAGAGGCAGAAATCATTCTCTTTTGGAGAGGTAGGATAATTGGAAGTGACATTCTCGACTTTCAGGTATAAAATTAATCCCAACTCTTGTGAGTGGTCAAGTTCGACCGACTCAATATAATGAAACATTGAGTCTCTTAGCATTCTTTTTTGGAGTAATGTTCATTGTTTGAATATTCTGAGCGAAATATTGCTGAGATTGTGGTGTATGTGGATATGTCCGGAATTATTATTTGGGTGACTAACAAAATGCAGACAATGAGGTGTACGTGGAGCCTCGAACAAAATCTGGCACGACTAAGGCTTTCGCGCTGGCCAGTCTCGAGTCGTCATGACTAAGGAACTCGGTATTGGGACTAACTCAATTGAATTTTTGTGTGGTGCATTCGTTTAATGATTGTTTGTAGCTGTAGAGTATGGTTTATTATAATGGTTTGTTGAATTCATGGCTTTGTGAAATTCTGGTCGACTGTACATTTGGGTGGGTGTTTATGCGATTTCATACCGTGGTAGAGCATGCATGTAGATTGAGGTGTGGTGTAAACGAATGTGGACCAATGTGATTGCTTTGATTTATTCGTCTTTTGTTATTGCTATCGGGATTGCTAATTGGATTATGTGGATAAAATGCAACTAATGGAATTTGTTGAATTCTTGCTGAGGAAAATGAATGAGCAGGTGTACTGGATATTGATTATGGTGAGAAGTGGAAAACATGGAGCAAACATCAACTCAGGTCACCATGTACAGACATGAAAGGGAGTTTGAAAATTATGCTCGATTTTTTATCTTGTTCGATATAATTATGCATTTGATGGGTCTAATGAAAATGATCAATTGTGATTCTGTCTCGTGGTGTGTGGTGTGTTTTCTTGTCGACCTCAGTGGCAGGTCGAAGTGTTCGAGCAAGTCGAAGAAAAAAATCCACCATGACTAAGGCCTCCGGGCTGGGTGGTCACATGTAATGACCACTCCTTTGAGGGTGGACATGTGTTCGAAGACCAAAATCCACCATGACTAAGGCCTCCGGGCTGGGTGGTCACATGTAACGACCACTCCTTTGAGGGTGGACATGTGCTCGAAGGCAAAAATCCACCATGACTAAGGCCTCCGGGCTGGGTGGTCACATGTAACGACCACTCCTTCGAGGGTGGGCATGTGTTCGAAGACCAAAATCCACCATGACTAAGGCCTCTGGGCTGGGTGGCCGATCCTAGTGTTGGGATGGTGAAGACATGGAGCCTATTGGAGACCTCGGTGGCAGGTCGATTATCTTTATTTGATCTCAGTTTCGTCGAATTTATTTTTTGAATTCAAAAGAAGGGAGATGGAGTTCATTACGGATAGTTCGAGCAGACCTCCGTGGCAGGTCAATTCGATTATCTTTATTTGATTCTTGTTTTCGTCGAATTTATTTTCGACCTCGATGGCATGTTGAGGGAGTTCATTCAGAGCAGTTCACGAAGGTCATTCGGATTTTGAGAGAATATACAACAGGATTGAATTTTAAATTTTGAACTGGGGGGCGATAGGATGAGGTGGTCTAAGAGAGTTCGAACATGGTGCTCGAAATACAACATACATAAGTTCAAATTTTCAAATTCAAGATTTTGGGGAACGGTCATTCAGTTCTCGATTCTCGACCTCAGTGGTCGATCAGCTTTTGATGTTCGACCCCAGCGGCGGGTCTCTCGGTATTCGACCCCAGTAGTGGGTCACTCGGGTTTCGACCTCAGCGGTCGATCAACTTTCGGTGTTCGACCCCAGTGGCGGGTCTCTCGATTTTCGACCTCAGTGGTCGATCAGCTTTCGGTGTTTGACCCCAGCGGCGGGTCTCTCGGTATTCGACCCCAGTAGTGGGTCACTCGGGTTTCGACCTCAGCGGTCGATCAGCTTTCGGTGTTCGACCCAGTGGCGGGTCTCTCGATTTTCGACCTTAGTGATCGATCAACTTTCGTGTTCGACCCTAGTGGCGGGTCTTTCGGTTTTTCACCTTAGTGGTCATTCGGTGTTCATCTGGGGTCCCTGTGCTCATTTGGAGATTTGGTGACTATTTGGTGGTTGATGATTTATTCAAATTACAACCTCAGCAGTAGGTTGACGGAAACAGCTCGAAGAGGAATTTCACTCTTAGATCGAGTCATTCAGACTCGACCAGAGTGGGAGGGACTAGATGATATAGGATATTATATACTAGACCAGTCCTAATGGATAAGAAGAGAATATATTGAAGAATATGCCTACACATGGCTAGGACACGTGGCACGATGCTATTGGATAAGCCCAACTTGGGCCATAAGGTACACTCCCCCTATAAAAGGGGCTAAGGTATCTCATTCTCTCATTCTCTCTACATTCATAGTTATACTCTTGGGATTTGGAGTGATACTGACTTGAGCGTCGGAGGCCCGACGCCGGGACCCCTCCCGGCGTTGGGTTCTTGCAGGTCCGGTGGCCGTCCGAATTGAAGGAGCCCGAATGAAATCTTATTCACTTCAGATAGTGTCTATTGATATCTGTTGATTCAACGATAAAATACATATTTAATGAATGCACTGTTACCATAAGAGTGTTTCGAATTACACGGAGAATTTATGAATTGAATAATGTATTTTCAGTTCGTACAAATTGAACTAAAATAGAAAAGAATAAACTCAAAAATGCAGAAAGAGAATTAGCTAAGGCGAGGGTTGCTTTTTCCGCAAGATAAATACGTCATGTATAATGTTAACGAGTCTTTGTAATGTCCCCAATTAGATACAACGGCTAGGATCAACCCCTTTGAGGCATTGTATGCGTATCCACCCCCTATGCATTCACTAGGGCCTTATGCACACACAAGAACTAGATACAAAGAGTACCACACATCAAAGTCAAATCATACTGCAAGATTTAGGGCTCGTTTACATTAGGGGACAGGATTGGACACATAAATTCCACCAAGATGCCACATCAGATTTTTATCTCATGTTTACTACACATGATTCAATCTAACAAAAAATCTATCATTTATTTATTTTACATGATAAAATGTTGTTTTCTTTTTGTCTTACTATTTTTTACCCTTCCATTGACACCTCCTCATATCAGATTCAGACGGGAAACAAAATCCGAAGAACATCACAAAAAAATGAAACCCTAAAATTCGACTCCCCGTTCTCAGATTCGTCGACCCAAAATTCACGAGCTTTCACGACCAGTCCCAATCGCTGCGATTTTTTCTTCCCAGTCCCAATCGCTGCGATTTTTTCTTCCGAATTGAATTTGATTTTGGTGTGAGAATGAAGAGGGCTGCGGATGAGGTGGTGGATGGTGGAGCCAAGAAGCCGGTCTTCCTCACCAAAGAAAAGCGCCAAAAGCTCGCCCTCCAACGCCGCCGGGAAGAAGCCACTGCTCAGCAGAAACGCCGCGCCGAGATGCTTCTCCAACAAAAAACACCCGCTGCTAACAACAGTCGCAGGGCCCGCGACCGCGATTCTGAGCGCCGGAACCATGACCGAGAACGCGAGGACGAACACAAGGCCCGGAAGCGTGCTCGCCTGGAGAAATTAGATGAGAAACAACGCGAGATTGATCTTACCGCCATAAAGGAACAGTATATGGGGTCTGAGAAGCCCAAAAAGAGGGTGATTAAGCCGAGCGAGAAGTTCCGATTCTCGTTTGACTGGGAAAACACCGAGGACACCTCCCGCAACATGAAATCCTTGTACCAAAACCCCCACAAGGCGAGTCTCCTATTTGACATTAAGGTCGATCGACACTGGTCGGACAAGAAGCTGGAGGAGATGACCGATAGGGATTGGAGGATTTTCAGGGAAGATTTCAACATCTCTTACGAGGGCTCTAAGATCCCTCGCCCCATGAGGAACTGGGCTGAGAGCAAGTTGAGCGCTGAGTTGCTGAGGGCGGTTAACAGGGCAGGATACAAGTCTCCTTCCCCGATTCAGATGGCCGCCATTCCTCTTGGCCTTGAGCAGCGAAACGTGATTGGCGTTTCCGAGACAGGATCAGGTAAAACGGCCGCCTTTGTTCTTCCTATGCTGACTTACATAACTAGACTTCCCCCTATAAGCGAGGAGAATGGGCCCTACGCAGTTGTCATGGCACCCACCAGAGAGCTTGCTCTGCAGATTGAGGACGAGACCACCAAATTCGCTCACTACATGGGGATTAAAGTGGTTTCTATTGTTGGCGGGCAGTCCATAGCAAAACAAGGGTTTAAGCTTAGGCAGGGATGTGAGGTTGTGATTGCTACTCCTGGGCGCCTTCTCGATTGCCTGGAGAGAAGATATGTTGTTCTGAACCAGTGTAAATATGTTGTTCTTGACGAGGCTGATCGAATGATTGACATGGGTTTCGAACCTCAAGTGGTGGGTGTATTGGATGCGATTCCTTTGAGAGAGGATGAACACAGAACAACTTACATGTTCAGTGCTACAATGCCACCTGGCGTTAAGCGGCTCGCGAGGAAG